ATTTTGACGAGAAGTGCATCTTGCTTCGCTCTTTTCTGCTTCGATACTATGTTTGGACGAGACCTCCTGCGGCTCATTCCATTGCGTTCCTCATCTGTTCCTTCAATAAGTGTTATTTCTATGCCCGAGTCAGCGAATAAAAATTCAATAACTCTGCATATGACTAGTCCAGTTATTCCCTTCATTTCTGGTAGGACCAGTTTTCTTTTATTCTGTTGCAGCATAATTGCTTTCACAGTTTTCAGCGATTTCAGAATATTTTCATCATCTGCTTCCTCATTAGTGCCCCCATTTGAAATGATGGGGTAGAGTATCAGCCTGGTTTTATGGGTAAGGTTTCCTGCATCATCGGGGAAGCCTAGGGAGTGAACCATCATTGCGACCTCCCCCTTTTTCTTGTTCTGCTTCAGTATTTCCTCTTTCCCTCCAAGTCTTTTAATAACCTTTTCTACTGACTCGTGTGTGGAATGCAAATCTGCACTACTCGGAAGAATCCATGTATTCTCACTATCAGTCTCCCAAAAGCTACTATGTCGGGTACTTATTTTGGGAAAAATTTCGTCCCTCCAGTCTTCTTCCGTTATCAGTTTGTAGTTCTCATAGGTTTCTTCTGCTTTCAATATCTGTTTCCTCTGTTGCTTCCGCTGCTTTTCACTACAGTTGTCGCACTGAACTTGGCCGCGGGTGAGGTTCTCCATCCTGGTCTCGTGTGCTGCTCGCATATCTTGTATCTGTGTTTCAAGTTCAGTTATTTTATTTTTCTGTTCGATGTCTCGTTTCTCGCCCTCTGCTTCCTGGGACATTTGGTCTAGCCATTTCTTGATTTCAACTTTTTGTAGTTTGTCAAGTTGTAGGGTTAGTTTCGCGGATATATCAGTGATTTCTTTCTTTGGCTTATACGCTTTCTGTACTACTTCTTCCAATTGTCTGATATGCTTGCTCATCTGCTCTATTATTTTCTTGAACGTCTGATGGTTGTTTGGCTCTACCTTATGTCTCTTTCCTTCTTCTTCATCTTCCTCGGTGTCGTCCTGCCTCATGCGCTTGACCGTCTGCTCTGGCAATGAGTTCGTTCTCGACCTTGGAGGAGTCCTGATCAGAAGGTCTCGTCTTTGTATTGATCCTGATGCAGTTTCGTCTACATCTGGGGTTGATACATTTTCTGGATTTTCAATTTTTTGCATGCTTATCCCACGAGTTGGGTAGAAATGAAGTCAACCGCAGCAGTGCTCCCATACTGCGGCAGGGTCTGCGATACAACCGATTGCGACCGCACAATCGGAGGACATCGTTCGAGACTCTTTCACGGAAGAGCCATTCATCCTCTGGGCACGATTGATTTACACCGCAGGATTTCCGGATTTTTTATCGAGGTTTACTCCTCTATATCTATCTATCTATCTATCTATCTATCTATCTATCTATCTATCTATCTATCTATCTATCTATATATCTATCTATCTATCTATCTATCTATCTATCTATCTATCTATCTATCTATCTATCTATCTATCTATCTATCTATCTATCTATCTATCTATCTATCTATCTATCTATCTATCTATCTATCTATCTATCTATCTATCTATCTATCTATCTATCTATCTATCTATCTATCTATCTATCTATCTATCTATCTATCTATCTATCTATCTATCTATCTATCTATCTATCTATCTATCTATCTATCTATCTATCTATCTATCTATCTATCTATCTATCTATCTATCTATCTATCTATCTATCTATCTATCTATCTATCTATCTATCTATCTATCTATCTATCTATCTATCTATCTATCTATCTATCTATCTATCTATCTATCTATCTATCTATCTATCTATCTATCTATCTATCTATCTATCTATCTATCTATCTATCTATCTATCTATCTATCTATCTATCTATCTATCTATCTATCTATCTATCTATCTATCTATCTATCTATCTATCTATCTATCTATCTATCTATCTATCTATCTATCTATCTATCTATCTATCTATCTATCTATCTATCTATCTATCTATCTATCTATCTATCTATCTATCTATCTATCTATCTATCTATCTATCTATCTATCTATCTATCTATCTATCTATCTATCTATCTATCTATCTATCTATCTATCTATCTATCTATCTATCTATCTATCTATCTATCTATCTATCTATCTATCTATCTATCTATCTATCTATCTATCTATCTATCTATCTATCTATCTATCTATCTATCTATCTATCTATCTATCTATCTATCTATCTATCTATCTATCTATCTATCTATCTATCTATCTATCTATCTATCTATCTATCTATCTATCTATCTATCTATCTATCTATCTATCTATCTATCTATCTATCTATCTATCTATCTATCTATCTATCTATCTATCTATCTATCTATCTATCTATCTATCTATCTATCTATCTATCTATCTATCTATCTATCTATCTATCTATCTATCTATCTATCTATCTATCTATCTATCTATCTATCTATCTATCTATCTATCTATCTATCTATCTATCTATCTATCTATCTATCTA